TACTAACTTATGCTTTGGAGGGGTTGAGTTGGGAAATCCCTCTCTCAACTTCGACCTGTGTGCAAAAACTTGGTGGGGGAGGAAGAGCAACTCCTTGCTCTACCTCGGATCAATTCAAGAGATGAAACCCAGACTGAACTTAACGTCGACCACCTCCGTTCGAGCATCCATGTGGCCGACAATGCACACTCGGGATTGGACCAAGTCGTGCTGATCTATTAGCCATGACAAAAGGTTCCTCAATACTTTTAGCGCTAAAGGAGGGCCTGATGTCGCAATAGCGTCCACTACTAAACAACCCAAGCAAACACCCTGGCGAGAAGGCACACGCCACCATCTCCACCTTCGACCTCAGAGGGCGACTCCCCACTCTCTCGCATATGGGTAGAAGTGCCTCGGCTTAGACTCTAGGGCGCTATTGACATTTATTCAATGACCACAGGCTCTTGCCTCCCGGGGCTGGCGCGAGGTAGTTGGTCATCTCCATCGAGGCATTCCTTGTTAGTTATATGTGCCTTATAAGCCAATCACGTGAGTGATGACACATGTGACACGCTACGATAATCTCTTTACTTATTATTACTGACATTTTATCATATATTATCTGGATGTATATTGTGATGTTCTTAGATCTATGCAATAGGAATTGAATCGTGATGAGATCATGATAATGAGATCAATTTACCTTTAAACACATATCTTAAATCATCCTAGTTATAAGTTACTCGTGAAGGACATTGAGATAACCACCGATGCACCGTATACTGGTCCATATAATGGAGGTGGCTAGTCTCATAGTCGCTCATGTGGGGATACTAGAGGTACAGTGTAGGTGCTCATTAGAGAATAATTTCATTGATTGATCTACTTATGGAATACTAGATAATTAATGATACCTGACGTTAGACAATGATTCTATAGTCCTAGTTGTGTGTCTAGTCCTTAGACTTTAGATACCAAAGATGCCTTGTATAAGTATTTCATTCTTTGACGTTGGATTTACAGGTTTAGAAGTTTTAGATCTAGTATAACCAGTTCTTGGGAATGATAGCCAATCTTATAAAGACAATTAAGTGTTAATAGAGGATCATCCACTCTCGATATCGTGAGAGAAATATCCTGTATGTGCTCACTCAGACAAAATCCCTAGCTTGGGTCATTCTGATTGAGAGAGGAGTTCTCCGGAAGAATCTAATTAGAGCGAAACTCGGATAGGACTTCGTATGTGTTTGACATTACCATGCCCAATATATGGTCTCCAAGATATTAGATGGATAAAAGACTATAGACACATGGTAATAGTGGACAAACAGGTCCGATGGATTAGAACCCCCTGTACCGTTCAGGGACTATGCCGTAGTGGCCTAGTACATCCATAGTCAATGAGCCAAGTAAATTATTATGGAGAGAATAATTTACTATATCAGAAGGAGTTCTGATATGATTGACTCACAACTAGCTCGGTATCAGGCTTATAGAGTCCCACACATATGGTGGATGTTACGACGAGTAGAGGTATATATATGAGATATCCGCGCAACCCCAGTTTGGATCCTATCAATAAGATCCAATTAGATAATTGGATAGAGATCCAATTGGATAAGTGGATAGAGATCCAATGAGGATAGGATCCATTAAGGGCTAAGCTACTTACATCTCTATAAATAGGAGAAGACTCATGGTTCATAGGCTAGAACTATTGTTGGTCACCCCTCCTATTCTCCTCAGCCTCCTCTCCTCCTCCTTGGCTCCGGTAGCCTTGTGATGCGCATGAAGAGGGAGATCACGCAATGATCTGAGGAGCATCATCGCTGCGTCTGCTATGTAGATCACCGCTAGAGAGGAGTATGTGAGTTCTCCTTCATCCACTCTAATAGATCTAGAAATTTTGAGGATTTACGATCTCTCTAGGTAACATTACCAACATGATATGTTCAGTTCTTTGGTTTTCTCGCGCACCAATCGTGGCACAACGACTAAGTAGTTAACTTTGAAAAATCTAATTTTATTTTTATTTTTCGCTATACATGAGATGTCAACCCGCTATTCCCCAGCATTCCTCAACCTCAACCTCAACCACTAAGTGCAGGCGTTAACTGGGATGATGTAGACAATCACACTCGTCATACCCTAGCTAACTCAGTAGATGGTTCTCCCCCCACGACCGTTCCCAAGATGCTCCAATGAGCCTAGTATGTTGCTGTAGAGGCACTAGTGGCAGGAAAGTGTAAGGAGTCTCACAAGAGGCCCCACTAGGAGCTACCCATATGAGCAGATCTGGGAAAGAAAAAGGCATGCTATAGTGAGGCCGGAAGTAGATGAGCCCAAGGTGTGTAGATCAAAAATGGAAAAAAAAAAAGGCCTTGCTACAGTGGAGCAAGTGCCCGAGTTGTGCACCTCGGCCAAACAGTGGCCAAGTTGTACACCTTGGCCAAACAATGTCCGAGTTGTGCATCTTGGCCAAATAGTGCCTGAGTTGTGCACCTCAACCAAACAATGTCTAAGTTATGCACCTCAGCTAAATAGTGCCCGAGTCATGCACCTCAGCTAAATAGTGTCCGAGTTGTGCACCTTGACCAAATAGTGCCTAATTTGTGCACCTCAGCCAAATAGTGTCCGAGTGGTGCACCTCAACCAAATAGTGCCCGAGCT